CCTTGTTAGTATTTTATTTAAAATTTTTGCATTAATATTCATTAGGGAAATTGGTCTATAGTTTTTTTTCACTGTTTTTGCTCTTCCTAGTTTAGGTATCAGCATCATGTTTGTGTCACAAAAGGAATTTGGAAGGGTTCTCTCTTTCCCTAGTTTTCCAAATAGTTTACATAGTATTGGAATGAATTGTTCTTTAAATGTAAGGTAGAATTCACTTGTGAATCCATCTGGTCCTAGGGATTTTTTCTTAGGGAGTTCATTTACGGCTTGTTCAATTTCTTTTTCTAAATCAGAATTCTTAAAGTCTTTCTCAGTTGTTTCTCTTGTGATTGCAACAATTGTTCTTGTTTCTGCTTACTTCGCTCTGTGTCAGGTTATACAAATCTTCTCAAGTTTTTCTGAAACTATCCTTTTAATCATTAAGGTATAATGAGATCCCATTACATTTGTCTACTGTAATTTGTTGAGCCATTCCCAATGCATTATTTTCTGCTTCAAGTTTAAACTTCTTGGCCTGGTCTTGGAAATTTTTCACATGATGGTTTTGGTTTTGCATCCTTTATCTCAATCAATCAACACAGTATCTACTACGTGCCATGCACTGTGTTAAGCACTGGGGATACAAAAAGAGGCAAAACAGTTCCTGCCCTCAAGGAGCTTACAATCTAATGGGGGAGACAACATGAAAATAAATATGTACAAACAAGCTATATGCAAGATAAATAGGAAACCATTTGCCAAGAGAAGGCACTGGAATTAAGAGGTGTTGGAGAAGGCTTCCTATAGAAGGTGGGATTTTAGTTGGGACTCAGAGGAAACCAAAGAAGTAAGTAGTCAGAGTGGAGGAATAAGAGCATTCCAAGAATGGAGGTCAGCCAGACAGAATGCCCAGTGTTGAGAAATGGAGCATCTTGTTCCAGGAACAGCCAGCAGGCCAGTGTCACTAGACCCAAGAATATCTGCTAAGGAATAAGGTGTAAGAAGACTGGAAAGTTAGGTTGTAAAGGGGGCTAGGTTATGAAGGGCTTTGAATGTCAATCAGAGGATTTTGTATTTGATTCTGGAGGCAATAGGAAGCCTCTGAAGTTTAATGAGTAGGGTGGTATAGTTGGATTTTTACTTTAGGAAAATCATTTTAGGAGCATGGATTGAGTGGGGAGAGACTTGAGGTAGGCAGACCCACTTGCAGGCTACTGCAATAATCCAGGGATGAGGTAATGAGACCCTACACCAGGGTGGTAGCAGTGTCAGAGGAGAAATGGGGAAATACTGGGGAGATGTTGTAAAGGTGAAATCAACAGGCCTTGGCAACAGATTGAACAAGGGGGTGGTGGTGAGAGACAAATGAGGAGTCCAGGATGATTCCTAGGTTGCAAGCCTGACTGCCTGGTAGGATGGCATTACCCTCTTGTTGTTCATCCTTTACTCTCTTGCTGTTCATCCTTCCTTCTCAAGGAGGATCAATGACATCAGGAGGGCGATGTCTTGACTTTCAAGTTAATTGGATTTAAGTGAGGCAGGGCTGTGCCAAGCTATCAGCCTCACTATCTCCTCCAGTCAACTGAGTCCAGTGGCAAGATATAGGTCAGGATGACTGGTGAGGGCCCCCTATTACCTTCTACAATAAAAGGGAAAGTAGGAAAAGTGTGGGAGGGTTTAGAGAGAACGATAATGAATTTAGTTTCGGACATGTTCCGTTTAAGATGTCTAGCAGACATTCAGTTCCAGTTGTCGAAAAGATATCTTGGAGATTCAAGACTGGAGACCAGCAGAGAGGTTAGGGCAAGATAGGCAGATTTTTGAATCATGAACATAAAGATGGTGATTAAATCCATGGGAGATGGTGGGTTCACCAAATGAAGCAGCATAGAGGGAGAAGAGGGCCCAGGACAGAACCTTATGGGACACCTAAGGTTATGGGGTGTGATCTGGAGGAGGATCTGACAAAGGGCACTGAAAAAGGTCAGACTGGTAGGATGAGAACCAGGAGAGAGTAGTATCACAAAAACCTAGAGAGAAGAGAGTATTGAGAAGGAGATCAGCAGTGTCAAAGGCTACAGAGAAGACAGGGAGAATGACTGAAAAAAGGTCACTGGGTTTGGCAAGTTGCTAGTCTCTCTTCTGTTTCCTTGCTCCATTTTCCTGTTTTGTTCTTCCACACCAGCTTCCGGCCCTTAACTCCTTTTCCTTCCTCCTTTTCCCTTTGAAAACTTGATTTACAGTCTCTAGTTTACCATGTAAACTCCTTGGGAGCAAAGACTATGCCATCCTTGCTTCCTAGAAGAGCTAATACATGAGTGTTCCAATGGTAATGCTGATTATTTTGTAGTTAAAAACACAGATGAACACTAAGAAGCTGAGGGGCTTGCCAATGGCCATCAGACTAGAATATGTCAGAGGCAGTACCTGAACCCAAGTCTTCCTGATTCTAAGGTTTGCTCTTTAGCTAGTTTCTTCAAATTGTTACTATTATTATTCACTATGGGTTAGAACATGGGTGAAGATGCCCAGCCCATTGTCTGAATAAATCCTGTTGATGGCAAATGAAATTCATTTGGCTATAATTGCTGTGGTCCTTAAGAGAACTTCTGGTTTTCCCATTCAGAATAGAGCCTGTGCAGCTTAAAGATAAAAAAAAACAACAAAAAACCCCAAAACAGTTGGTGAGCTGTGAAGAGTGCTTAAATAATATGCCAGGGTAGAAATAACTTAAGAAACTCACAGTACAAGTGAAGTGCAGGATGGGACAGACATACCTGCAGCAGAACAAATTTGCTTCTTTTCCTCTATTGTTAGTCATTTTCTACTTGTATTTATTCTAACCTTTTTCCCTTCCCTCAAATGATTTTCTCTTTCTTTTTCACCATTTTTTCTTTTAGATGTTACGCTAGGAGTCCAGAAACTACATCCTACCTAGACTTGAATAACCTCCATGCCTAGCACAATGCTCTGCATAAGTAGGCATTTAAAAAATATTAAACTGGAAAAAATGTATTATCAAAACATATATAAAATGTCAAAGTTCTTTCTTAACATAAAAAAATAGGTGTTTTACTTTTCTTGCCTTTTTTAAAAAAAAAACCATGCAAACCCTAAATTACTTTTCACTTTTATGTTGGTCTATGATTAAAAAAACAAACACAAAAACAACAACAACAACAACAACAAAAATCCCCCCCCCCCCAAACCAAACAGGTAAGGAAGAAATTAAAAGACTACAGGGGCAGGGCTTGTTTAACCCAACTTATCTTGTTAGATAATTCTTATCTACAAATGGGCCAGTTTCCAACTATAACTGTACTTCCAAATGGGAAAATTGGGACAATCAGTCAAAAAAGTAATGATAACAGATATATATTACTCCACTATACATTGTTTTAGAACTTTTAACATAAAAGGATGAGACCTGTAAAGACCTTACGAAGAAAATGTTTTTTGCAACTAAAAATGCTCCAGGAGTACAACTACAAGTGAACTAAAGGGTATGGTACAGAGATATCCCCTTTTAACATATGGTTCTCATCAGTGGCTTCCTTTAGATATTTCCAGAAATGGAAGTTCAGAATGCATCAAGCTGTTTCCCACTATACTAACAAAACCCTGCGAAAGGAGGGCTGGGATTTCTTTGGTCTCAATACCAACTAGTCCCATATGCTCAAAATAAATGCTAACAGTGGAGTTCCCATATGATGACATTCATTTCAACATTTTATAAAGTGCATACTAAGTGCCAGTAACTGTGCTAGATACTGAAGACTTATGGGTGAATTCAGTCACAGCCTTTGAAGAGCTGACAATCTAATAGTGAAACAAATACCCAGGCATCTATAATCAAAGGCAGAATGTGCTAAATACATGAGAGTTCAGAGAAGGATTAAAGGTTTGGAAAAGAATCAGTAGAAGGAACCAGGAAAAAGTTTCTTGGAGGAGATACCAATGGAGTCATTCCTTAAAGGATTTTTTTGATAAGTGGAGATGTGGGAGTTGTTTCTTGTAAGATGGGGTTTGCAAACACAAAGGCAATACTCAGATAAGGGATTGAGAGTGCTGAGTAGTGCATGAAGCTGAGGCATTAGAAATAAAACTGTTGAGGGATATATTGGAGTCTCAGCAACAACAAATAGGTTTTTAGGGGGATAAAAAGGTTACAATGAGGTTTCAGGACTGGCTGATTAAAACCCCTTTGAAAAATATGCTTTTAAATCTTAAAGTGCTACATTAATATGGACTATGATAATTATTTCTCTTGGCTTTTCTCTTCCTAATATAAATTCAACAAACACTAAGCATCTAATATGTACAAGGTACTATGTTAGGTTTCAGGGGATTAACACCTATCAAAGTCCCTGACCTTAAAGAGTTTACACTCTACTTGCAGGATACAACACGAACACAAATACACACAGGAAGGAAAACTGAGGAAGAGAACACTAACAATTTTTCTTTAAATTACATTTTTAAAGTTTCATTTTCAGTTCCAACTCTCTCTCCTGTTCCTTCCCCACCCATTGAAAGGGTCATGTTGAGAAAGAAATTAAAAAAAAAAGACAAAGAAAGTGAAAGAAAATATGCTTCAATCTTCACTGAGCTCATCAGTTCTTTCTCTGCAAGTGGAATTATTGTGGATCATTGGCTACTTATCAGAGTAGCCAAGTCTTTCACAGTCGATCATCATTACAATATTGCTGTTACTGTGTACAATGGTCTCCTAGTTCTGAGAACAATAACAATTAAGAATATTAGGGTGGCACCTGAGGTGGGTCCTGAAGAGGTTTCTAAGAGGTGGAGATGAGTGAACATAGGTGACTATTGGCCTAAATGAACATTTCAAAGTGGCAGACGGAGATAGAGTTCTGATAGCAGTACAAATTGGCTAACGGTGTAAAGGTGAGTAGCAGCTGTAAAGGCATGTGGGAATCATATTGTAGGGGGCCTTAAGTGACAAGTAAGGAATTTATATTTTATTCTGGAGCTAACTGGGGAGCCACGGAAGGATTTCCAGCGGTCAGCTTAAGAAGCAGAGACGAATATGCAATGAACTTCCTGTTTGGGTTTCCAGAATTTCTGACTCAAAAAACTTTATTGTGCACCTACTATGTGTAAGGTGCCAGGGAAACTAGATGAAAAAGGGCCTTACTCCCTTTTAAGAATTTATAGTCTACTGAGAAGAAAAACAGATCTACTAAAATAAGCATAGTATAGGCACAATGTGATAGGGCAATGGAGATCCTGACAGAGCTCTAGAAATATATGAAGAAACCCTTTCACCTTCGAGATCATGGAAGGCTTCAAGGCTGAGGTGGCACTTGACCTGAGCCTTGCAGAGGATTTTGACAGTCGAGGAGGAAGTGCTCTTCAGGCATAGTCAGTGGCTCGTTAGAATGCACCGAAGTGGGAGGAGATGGGCAACAACTTCACAGCCCAGGCTGGCTGGCCCAGAGAAGGGGAGTCCTGTTTGCAAAGGTAGGTCGGTCCAGCTGTGAGCGCTGTCCGAGCCCAGCAGCCTCTATTTTACCCTGGGGCGACAAAGCGCCAAGCCTGGTCAGCTACCTGGCGCCCACGAAAGAGAGGAGCGATGGCGGGCCTGGAAGGGGCCTCATTCCGACGCCAGGATCTGGGGTGCAGGGAGGGGCAGAGAGACCGGCTGCGGTTCGCACTACAAGTTGGCGGCTAAGCAGGAGCCGTTCAGAGCCAGCGGCCGAGGCGCGCGGGGGCGGGGGGGATGGGCGCCTCCGCGGGTCAGCCTAGCCCAGGGCGCCCTGGTCTCGCCGGCAGCCGCCAGGAATGCGCTCCAGGGGCTGGCCGGGGAGCGGGCGGATCGGGGACCTCAGAGGGGCAGAGCCGGCCTCCCAGCTAGCTAGCTAGCTCCCTCCCTTCTTTCCTTCCCCCTCCCAGGGGCCGCCGCCACCTCCACCTACGCCGCCGTTCCTCCGGGTCCGTCCGCCCCCTCGGCTCCGGCTGCTCATGCGCCCGAGGGCCTGAAGTGGGCGGGGCATGAGAAGCGGGAAGGACGCCTCCTGGAGCCAGCCGAGGCGCCTCAGGCCCGGGTTGCCTCGTTTCAGTGGGGCGGGTCCGCCCTCTTGTCCTCGTCTGTATCCCCCTCCCCCTCCCCCCTCCCCGTTACCTCACAAGCCGATAGATTCTACCCCTTTCCCAGCTGTTGCCCCGCCCCTCTCCAGGCCCACAACCAACGGCCTCCTCCCCAGTCCAACCGCCTTTCAACGTCCGTCCCACTCAATCTCGGACGGCAAGGCAGAGGGGACCTGGGGGACGGGGAAAGGGGGGGTGGTGGTGGGGAATTTTTGGTGCTACATTTGCGCATGCGTAGGGCTTCTCTTGCGGCCCGGAACAGCGCGAGGCGGGATAGGGTGGGGGAGGAAGGGAGAAGGAGGCTTCTTCCGGGACGGGCCGCCCTGCACCGCCCTGCGCGTGTCCGGGCCATAGGGGGCGCGCACGCTTCCTCCTGCCCTTGCTCTCCTCTCTCCCCTCCCTTCCCCGCCCTCCCTCCCTTCCTTCGTCTCCCCCCCCCCACCTCCCAATCTCCTCAGCGTGGCGCCGGCGCTGCGTGCGGCGCGGGTTACCCAGAGTGCCTGGCGCGGGGGCAGCTCACTGGAGTTTGGTTCTCGAGGCAGCGGCGGCGGCGGTGGTGGCGGTGGCGGCGGCGGCTGTGGAGGAGGCTCCTTCCTGGCGGTGGCGGCTCTTCAGGCGGCGGCGGCAGCGGCGGCTCGAGCAGCTCAGGCGGCGGCGGTGGCTCCGGCTCCCCCCCGTCCCCCCGCGGGGAACATGCGGCTCCGCTCCCGGAGGCCGGCGAGTGAGTGACCCCCCGCCCGGTCCCTGGTCCCCCCTCAGCCTGCCCGCCCGCCAGCCCGCCGGCCCGGCCGCCCCCCCCGCCTCGCTCAGGCAATGACAGCGGCTCCGGCCTCCCCGCAGCAGATCAGGGACCGGCTGCTGCAGGCCATCGACCCCCAGAGCAACGTAAGTATCCCGGGGGGCTGCGCCGCTCTGCGCGCACCGCGTCGGGGAGGGGGCGGCGAGGGCCGGAGCGCGGGCGGCGGGCGGCGGGGCACCGGCCGCATGGGTCCCTTTCCTCCTCTCCCCCAGCCCCTTGACCCCGGGCACCGTGCCTCCTTGCTTCCTGCGTCCCGCTGGAGCCTCCGTTCCTTGGGCCACCTCCGGCTCGCATAGACCCGGTCCTGAGTGCCCGGACCCCAGCCCGGGGCCGCCGCCAGAGTGGTGCTATACGGAGGCAGCGAGGGGGAGCTCGGCGACGCCGTGTACGCGAGACCGCGGCTTCTCGTTTGGGCCGTGAGGCCTGCGCTGGGGTTTGGGGCTGAGTGATCTTTCCTAGGAGGGTTTGGGGAAGGGGAGGCATGGCTTGGGCGCCCGGCTACCCTTACTCCTTTCTCTGCGCTCTCTTCTCTTCCGGGGGGCACAGGAAAACCTGTCTCAGCTACCGAGGTATGGGAGGAGGCTGCGGAGCAACTGGTGTCTCAGGCTGCCCTAGAAATGCTTTCTGGAGCCCTTCTGCTGACCCCTGAGGCGGTTGTCCTGACTTTTCTTGGGCTTCACTGGGAAGCCCTGCTTAGGGTGCCCAAGCCCCCTCTTCTGGGAGGAAAGCCCTTGAGGGCTCTCCCCTCGGAGCTAGAGCAGGGCTGCAGGATCTGCCTGCCCGTCTTTATTTTTTGGCCGGGGGGTTTGGGAGGGGGGATAGTTTGGGCATTCCTGGCTGTCTTCAGGAACCAGTAATGGTTGGTTTGGGGGTGGGAGCTCTATTCCCTTGACTTTTCACTTTCTGCTCTTGTTTCTATTGTCTATCTGTCTGAATAAAAGTCTTGCCCACAGTACTAACAGGGTCAGATTTGGGGGAGGGGGCTCAGTATTTATTCTGGATTGCTAATTTTGACTGTCTGACCTAGAAGCACCCTAGAGGTTGGCTTACTCAGGCCTTTTATGGTGCAAAACCAGGGTGTTAGCCTAGGACCCCCTTGTGGGGATGTGGCCACTACATCATCAAGTTCTTGAGGGATTTTCATCTGTATACACACATTGAAAGAACATATTCTTGTGGCTTTAATGTGTTGGGCAATAGGAAAATGCGTAGCAGTTGTTGATGTTGAGCTCCTAAGGTTTGAAACAAGGTATTGCTTTTGCTTAAAGACCAGGAAGTGATAGTTCATTATAGGTAATATTCCATGGATCGAAGTCAAATTCTCCTTATATTTGGGCAAGTAACACAGATTGTGACTTATCTGAACAGGGGGATTTTTTGTTCCTCCTTTCAAGTAAGTTGGGGCATTAACAATAATGTTATCTAGAATTCTGGAGGACTGTAATTGAAATACATTTGCTTCTACAGTTTTGGTGAAAAATTGAGTAGAAGATTAAACTTTTGTGAGGTATAAAGATTCTTTTCAGCCCATATTTACCCAAGTAATTCTGTCATTACCATTTGCAGGGGAGAACACTGGGCTTCAAAAACCCATTATGATACAGTTGGTGGTGGTAGCTCTTGAAGAATGTTTTTTGGGTATTTTTTATTGTTCTGGGGCAGAATTGGCAAAAGAAACACCAGAAAATCCTTCTTTCCCCACCCCCAGCCTTTTTAATGCAACACTGTGATCTTCAATGTCGTTCAAAGCAAATTGAATTTAAACTTGACAGTGAATGTATTAAGTCATCGTAGCTGGCTTATTATTTTCAACTATACCAGAAGATGCCTCTTTCATCACTGAGAACTGTTAACACTAACCATTAATGCCAGTTGAGTAAGTGATGTTAGTAGAATCAGAAAGAAATCTGATTATCCATAGGTGTGAAAGAAATCTCAGATGAATTTCATGGGTTAGTTAAAGTGTTCCAGGGGACAGTTAGAGTTGGGGGTGAAGAAATAGACAGTAGAAGAGATGGATAGAAAAAAGCAGATGAGTTCTCAGTGATCATAAAACTATTCAATTCAACAAACAAATTGCTCTGTGTAGGGCACTGTGGTCCTGGTGATAAAAGTAAAGAAAAAACATCTTATGCTCTCTAGAAGTTTGCTTTCTAATGGGAATATAAAACATGTACACAGATAAGTTAACACCTTCATTCAAAGAGGGTGTGAACACTTAACATGTGAGTGAGGGGTGATGAAATGGTTAATGGAGAAAAGTGAGCTTGCAAGGAAGCTCAGAATTCTAAGAGAATGGAGGTGAGGAAGGAGTGCATTCCAGGGATAGGCACAGCCTGTGCAAAGGTGTGAAGCTGGAAATGAAGTACTGAGTTTAGGGAAAAGAAAGTAGGGCATTTTGGGTAGAATGCAGAATTCTTGAAGGGAATTAATGTTGTAATAATCTTGCAGGATAGAGCCAGATTTTGAAGGGGTTAATGTCAAGTTGAATTGTTTGTATTTTATCTTGGAGGCAATAGAGAACCCCTGAAGATTCTTTAGCTGAGGGGATGACATGGTCAGACTTCTGCTTTAAGAAGATTATCTTAGCACCTATATGGACAATGGATTGGAGAGAGGCAGGGAAATTTAGGTTTTGAGAATAGTCCAAGAGAGAGGTTTGTACCTGGATAGTTGCAAGACCACATGTGAGACATGTGGTAGAGGTAGAATTGACAAGATACACAATGTACTGTTGAAACCCTTAAACCAAATTAATTCAGGCAAGGGCAGTTTTTTTAGATAGGCACAGCATTTCTGATGTTTCAGCTATGTCATCTTCTTTTCTTTAGCTTTTCTGTACTCTAGAGGTCCAAAGTTAAATGTTAAAGAAATTATAATATCATATTCTTTTTGCTGTACCTACCCACTTCCCCTTGAATCAGCTACTACCAACAGTTTACTTGAATCAGCTACTGTAGCTTTACAGTGTGATAATGAATTTAATTCCTAGTTTACTGATTAAATTGGAAAAAATATTTTTAATTCTATAGATAATCCAGTATTTTGTTGTTGTTTTTTATAATAAGAGTTTGGTATCGAACTCCATATAGAGATGAACTGGGTCATTGTGTGTCTTCAGGTTATTTTGTACTTTCTCACTACTTTACTTCAACCACTTTGCAGTTCACCCAATTTGAACTACTCCTTCCCCTTTGTAATCTTGTTACTCCAATCTCCCACTTCCATGTATGGAATGTTTTTCCCTTTTTATTTCTGTCTATTGAAATCCTTAAAAATTCAGCTCAGGTATTGGCCCCCTGTCCCTCTTCCTTGATTCTCCACAGTTAAATTGTTCTCTGCCTTACCAAATTTTTCACCCTCTATTCATATTTTATCCCCTTCTTAGATTTTAAACTTCTTGTGGGCCTAGACTTTTTTTTTGCCCCTTCCGTCTTTGTATCCACAATTCTTTGGATGTAAAGGGCACATAATGATCTAGCTGCATTGAATGGAAGTTATAGAAAGGCAAATTTAGACTTCTGATACTTCTAATTCTGAGATTCTGTGATTTTTTTTTTTTTTAGGCAATTGG